ACAGCTACCCCTCTGAAACCTTAGAAAAATATGTTTAGCTAGATCTCGTATCTATCTGCATAGTCAGTGAGGGTTTGTTTATATGGAGATTTAAGATGTTATATGAACTCAGCAATTGCTAATGGGAGGTCAGTTTTTTTAACATGTAGATTAGTATAAACTTCTAAACATACTTAATACTAGCTTTATACTTGTTTTCCAGTTTTTCTTTTCTAAAATCTCTGTTTACTTTTCTAACACAATGGTGTGCCCTGCTAATGCCCTCACTGTCTGAATCAGGACTGTCATCTAATACTTTGTTTCCATTCTGGGGAAGCTCGTGTTAAATTATTATTAAATTATATTTTCTTCTCCATTCTCTTGGAGCAAGTCCAGAAGTCATCTGGCTCCCATGTGACCAATATCTTTCTCTGGATTAAAGAACTGGAAAAAAATATTACTGTTCTCCATTGGCTAAGAATTGGGATGTTGTCCTAAGAGAACAATATGCTTTAAGACTGATAGTTCCATCCCATTATCCCATCTTATAAAAAAACAGGCTACTGCATTTTTAACTAGATGCATCTATCAGCTAATCACTTATTCACAAAGTAAGGAGGCACAAAACACATTTTGATTTCAATGAATGGAATCTCATCCCCCTCCCACAGTCCCTTTGTACATACATGCTGTAGATGACTAAAAAATTCGCAGTAATAAAAAGTTCTACCTCTGAAGGAAGTGGCCAGGTTACATGTCTGTTCAAATTCTCAATTTATTAAGAGTTTTGTTTTCAGTGAATACTGTTCTATTTTTAAAACACTCATTTACATTCAATTCATTATACAGGTCAATGCACTTCTTAGCAGTAAGGAAGTATTTAAACACCCGGGGAAGAAAAGATACCATCATTTTATAATATGGCATTAGAAGATTTGTTCTGGGACAGCCTTCATGCTGACCTCAAGCCTCCTGTGAAATATTGTAAGGTTTCTGGGGATGCATCATGCAACCATCTAATATATGAAGTTTTAGGGTATTTTCACATGTAGTTAAGTTCGTGTATTTCTGTAAACATTTTAAATTATGTCTAAATTACTCAGACTAATTTGATGTGGTATACAAAAAACTTCTCTTTTTAAGTGTGGTGACTGTCACTAACACATTAACTGGCATAACTCATTTGAACATTACAATGAAAGAAACAGGATTAAGAATGACCCAAACCTGAACCAAATGTCAGGAAACCTTGACATTAACAGAGACAAGGAAGCATTCTTTGTTATTATTAGATTTGACAAGGGCAGCAAAAGCACAATGCAGTGTGATCAAGGAGAGCTTAAAACAACCACCTCTCAGGAAGTAGCAGAATTTTTGAAAATGCGCCTGCTCTTTGATGGAGACAGGAAAAACCAAGAGCAGGCAGAATTCTTCACAGAAACTAAACGTATGAGGCTTATATTAAGTATAGACAACATACATCAGGTTGTGGAAGCCTACAACAAATTTTCATTTGTTTATGCCAGCAGAAACCACAGCTCCTGGATGAAACCAGTTGTTCCATAACCAGAATCGGAAATGCCATCACCGTCCTAGATACAGAAGGAAGGAAAAACACACTTTTAAATTAAAGAAGGCAAAATCTAATTTGCCACCTTTGTTTGATCAGCTTATAATACAGTTTTTAAAGTTTCAATTTTTTCCCACAGTACAAAAGCCACAGGTCGTCAGATGAAATTAATAAGCAACAGGTTTAATACAAACAAGAAGGGTTTTTGTGTTTTTTAAACATACAATGCACAATTAACCTGTGGAATTCATTGCCATGGGATGTTGCAAAGGAAGTACTAGGTACAGAAGAGAACTAGACAAGTTCACGGAGGATAGGTCTATTATTGGCTATTAGCCAAGATGATCTGGGATGTAACCCCATGCTCCAGCTGACCCTAAACCTCTGACTAGAAGAAGGGAAAGACTGGGGTGGATCTGTCCAAGAAGCTCTGATTCTGGACACTATCAGAGACAGGCTACATGGCTAGATGAACCACTGCTCTGACGCAGTATGGCTGTTATGTTCTTGCTCTCTGGAAAAGTGATTCACGTCCAGGGCCAGTGGTCTATCATTTGACTTGAAGCAGGCAGCTTATTTGTACTGCAATTAAAACTAAGGTCCACATTGAGGAAAAGTACTTTATTGATTGGCCCTAATAACCTTTGAAATAGTCAGAATAGGCTTTTGTTCAGGAGAAAAGATGTATATAGCATTACATAAAAGGGCAATGGGCTTAAGCTTAAAAAAATGCTCAACTTCATTAATTGAATTGGTTTTTCCCCATACAAAAGTTAGGTTAGTGTAGACACAGTTCCTGGTTATTTGATCATGGAGTAATACAGTAAGGCTGCAACTGAGTCTGTTACAAGCTTGAGCTTGACACCCTCTCCCCACCTTGCAGATCCACAAGATAGAGTTGGATAGGGATAGAGAAAAATATTTGGACAGAAGGGTGCTGGTGCACAACACCCACTAATGTTTTTCCAGTTTCAAGAATAACCTTTGCCACTCCCTAGTCAATCCTTCCCCCACCCAATCCTCAATAAAGCCTTCCCAAACCCCCCTTCCCCTCAATCCAAAAAAAAGAGAAGGGGCCAAAAAAAAATATGGAAATAGACTTTTTCCCCTGCAGAAATAGAGCTCTGAACATAACCTGATCCCAGTGAGGCTTGTCACTATGAAGAAAATTTTCTTCCCATCCCAAGCAAAGGACGCAAATGAGTCAGTGATGTCCGGGGCACTCTGGACATCTTAGTGGTTCTCATTGGTTGCTTACTTGAACATCTGTATATTGAACACACATTAAGTTGGCTCCCATGTCCCAGTCTGAGGCACCAGCTCTCATCCTCCCTCATTTCAGCTGGGTTTCCTCACTGCCAGGAAAGAAAAGATGCTATTATACTGATACAGAGCATTCACTTTTAAGTGGAACAGTATAAATCTTCAGCATCGTGCATGAGGGAAGCAGGCAGCAGCAGAATCTTCCCTCCATCAGATGGAGCGAAGCAATTAGCAAAATCCGTACACAGGTTTCCCTTCTCCCCCACCACCAGGGGTTAAGGAAGCAGAAATACCACATCAACATCTACAGGGAGTACACAGTGTTAACTTCTGGCCCTGGTAATAAGAATGCCTTTGGATCCAAAAAAAGGGATGGAAATAAAGGAACAACCAAGATGGAAAAAATATCATGGAACCCATGGACTTGTGTGTGTTGCTGACATTGCGCGTACAGGGAGTTGCGAGACACAGAGACCAGTAGCATTGCAGTAGCAGTTTAGGCATGATTTCCTATATTTCCTTAAAGATCTCCCTGAATAAAGAGCAGACCTGGCCCTGCAAAGCATATGACATCAAAGGAACTTACAGCCCAAGGAGGTATGCCTGCAGGCAGGTTATGTAGAACTATTTTCTTTTACCAGTTTTAAACATGCTGCCTTCCTTTTCTAAGTCATTTGTCTCTTTTCTCGGTATTGATTTTACTGTATTTCTTAAATAGGACTTCTGGGTGGGGACCAAAAGTGGACTGAACATAAAATTAGCATGTATTACCCCTTTGAATCATATTTAATATTGTCATTATATACTGCCTTTTTAAAGACAGTACAATATTTTATTCATTGTAATCAATGTGCTTTGAACACACAGCCTTCCTCCAAAAAATGAGGAAAGTTTCAGAATAAAGCACAATCTGTTAATAAAGAAAAGAGAATGTCATGAACAGGGCCGGCTCCAGGCATCAGCTGAGCAAGCTCGTGCTTGGGGCAGCAGATTCCAACGGGCGGCATTCTGGTCGCCCTCCCCCCTCCCCCTTTTCTTTTTGGTTTTTCGCTCCGGCCGTCCTGTAGGGAGCGGAGGCGCGGAGCACCCTGCAGCAAACTCAGCAGGGCAGCCCGTGTCCTTCCCTCTCAGCCAACCTGAGCAGCGCAGAGCCCTACTAGTAGGCAGCATGGTGGGAGGGGTCGCGAGGCAAGCACCCCGCTGAAGTCCTGGCCGCCCCCTTCTCTCTCCCCCCCAGCTTCCTTCTCCTCCCCCCGCTAGACCAGGCGCACACTCCGCTGCATGTCTGCAGCATAGGGAATCCCCCTGTACCCTGGCTCCGGCCCCCCTGCAGGTTTTTTTTTTCCCCTTCTGCTTTGCCGCTCCGGCCGCCCCACAGGTGTGGGGTGTGTGTGTGCGTGCGCGTATGCACTTTGCCGCTCCGGCCGCCCCACAGTTTTTTTGCTTGGCATGGCAAAAAAGCCGGAGCCCGCCCTGGTCATGAAACACACACACTTTAGATTGAAGAGGAAAAGAAATGGGAAGGGGGAGGGAGGAGAGAGAGAGAAATTCTCCCTAGGTTAGTGGCAGAATCACTGTCTTATTCAAAACCAGACTGAGTAAATCAGTTCAGATTATACTATCAGGAACCATCCTGTATAGGTAGGCAAATAGAGTAGAAGACCTGTAAATATGTTCCACAATACCAAACCACTTTAACAGTGCATCACCATATGTTATAATACAAACACCTTCCTCTCACTTTGAGATTTAAAGCAGATTTATCATTTCACTAGCAGAGCAGAGCTAGTGAAATCAGTGAGTAAGAGTAATTGCAATGTTAGTTTTCCCATGGTCTGGACTGAGGTCTTCACTGAAATTTTGTTTTTAAACTCTGGTATTTTAAGTTTTCCCATGCATTTAGTTCTCTTATATGGTTAAGTCACCACCTGCCCCTCCCAAAATCGGTCTCTCCTACTGGTCAAGAACCCCCCCCCCCCCCAAACCTACCAAAGTATGTTTAAAAGGTTTACAACTAAAACTGTGGAATAAACACATCTCCGGAAATATTATCTCCTGAAATCAAATGGTGAACTTCCTTGTTGCAAGTTTGATGTATATGACCAAGAAGCCAAGATTTCAAGTACTATCCTATCCAAAACAGTCACAGTACCAAACTATAGGGCTACAAAATACCACCTGAAGAAAGTTTGCCAAAATAAAAATGGGAATATTTATTATCTTTTCTACTAAAGCAATGCAGATCTTTTGAGATTACACATTGGTCTTTGCAAGTGGTTTACAGCTAAATTCATACTTTTCAATTCTGTAAAAAATTAGTCAAAGTTCATAAAAACAAAGACATGGGGGAAGTTGGTGAAGAGAGTCAGAGACTATAATAACTGTTAATGGTGATGAACAGAGAAAGCCCAACCGTTATTTTAAAATTCTGACATTCTCTGCATCATTAGAAATCCAAGTCCCTTAACGTGGGATAAGGTGTAAATATTTTCATTAGGAAGAGATTAAAATATATGGGTACATTAGTTGCACATTTTCAGATCTACAACAATGGCAGTTCTACTTCCCAATAAGCTATGAGGAATTGATCAGATACAACTGTTAAATAATGGAATTTGATCAAGAGACTCTAAACATTACTTAGTAGATACTACATGCACATGATGCAAGGGGAGGAGATTTATAGACCCGTACATACGATACAAGACAAACTGTTACAATTGTCAAACGTGCGCTGGACAAATTTAAAGTTTATGGAAAAGTCTTGTAGGCTTGTTTCATGAAAACAAGGTCAGAAGCACATTATTGTATATATTTTTCCTCCAAAATTATCTTCACTTGGCCTCCTGAGCTTTCTTGGCATTCTGTTTTTCTTTTGCCTAAGGAAAAAAAAAAAAAAAAAAAAAAGAGCATGTTATACTACAATGAGAATACTGCCTACTTTTGTCTACAACTCAAAATATACATGCCTGTCTGTTACCTCCTGGAACATACAGTAAAATATCATTTGTGTTCTAACAAAAGCCACTTTTAAACATAAATTTGGATGCTTGTTGAATGCTGCACATGCAGTTACTAAACCTTAATATCATCTCTGGGCATACACTTATATAATACAAAACAGGTTAAAGACCTCTTGACTCCTTGTGGAAAAATCTGAAAAAAACCAACACTTTACTTAAAAAACAGTTTAGTCTTAAGTTTCTATCTTTTTTCATATAAAAAAGGAGAGATATCGAACAATAAGATTTTTATTATTCTGGAGATCACCTGCTCATGCAGTTTATTCTCCACCTGACAATCATAATCCTCTGTATGAATATCACAATTGGAGTGGTGGGAAGAAGCATATAAATTAAACAGAAAATGAGCTCAGGTGAAGAATAATCCGTTTATGAGCTCTGAAGCAACAAAGATCTTTTTACCGGTATTTTGCTTCATCATCAAGAAGCACAGAGGAAGAAAAATACAGAAACTAAGAGCGAGGTTATTTGCAAATAGAATTTCTTGCTCAGTTTTCCACAACGTGTTAAAAGTCTACATTCCATACAAATGAACGCAATTGTTTTGCGACAAACTTGCAGCCTGGTACATCGTTTTCATAATGCCATTTAGTAAAATACTAATATGCAAATTTTGGTTTTTACCAATATTCAACTAGAAAATGTTGTGTTGAATAGTTATGTGAGAAGATCATTTCCCTTAGGATGCAAAATAAATAAATAAATAAATAAATCTGTCATTGTTGAAATAGAAATCCCTCTTCATTTTCTATCTTGTTATTCATCGTATCATTTGCTGTGGTAGCTGCACACTAAACTAAGATCAGCAACAGAATTCTGAGGGGTGACTTTCCTCTTGATGTGTATATATGGAGCTCTAAATCAAGCTAAACTTTCTTTAAACACGGATCACCAGAATATGCCAAAAAGATATAAGTGAGAATTTCTTGATTGTCTCAATCACTCAAGTTTGAGGCAGTTTTCACCAGTGGTGAGCTGGAACTGATTCGCAAGAACCGGTTGTTAAATTTAGGAGCCAGTGTAGAACCGGTTGTAAAGGGGCCGGTGGGTGGGCCAACTGCAGCCCACCTGAGCTCCCAGCTGGGGAGGCTCCCCCAGCCCCTCCCCCCGCTTCCCCTGCCCTCTTGCAGAGCTCCAGTGCACCACACCGCCAGCACTCTGGGCAGCTCTGCAGCTCCTGCTGCTTTGAGCAGCATGGTAAGGGACTGGGAGGAGGGGGTTGGATAAGGGGCAGGGAGCAGAGGTTCTGGGGGTGGTGGTCAGTGGACGGGGGGTTGGGTAGGCATGGGGAGTTCTGAGGGTCTGTCGGGGGTGGTGGTGGATGGGGTTGGGGCAGTCAGGGGACAGGGAGCAGGGCGAGTTGGGTAGGGGGTGGGGTCCTGGGGGCAGTTAGGGTGGGGGTGGTCAGGGGACAAGGAGCGGGTGGTTGATGGGTTGCGGGTTCTGAGTGGGGCTGTCCGGGGCAGGGAGTGGGTTGGGTCGGATGGGGGGGGGGGCAGGTATGTGGGGCTTGTACTCACCACGCGGTTCCCTACTGGGTCTTCGGCGGCACTTCAGCGGGGGTGGGAGTGTCTTCACATGCTCCGGGTGAAGGAGCTGCCGCTGAAAACCCGGAGCAAGTGAAGGTCCCCTCCCCCATTGCCGAGGACCTGGTAGGGAACCAGTTATTAGGATTTTGGGAGCTCATCACTGGTTTTCACATTAAATCTTATAAGCACCTAGGGGCATTTAACTTGATGTCACATTACTTGACCTCTTCCCTTTATATACAGGATTTTAGAGACTAAAATGATATTGAGAAACATTATTTACCTGTCCATATAGTAACTGTGGTTCTTTGTATAAAAGGTGTGCATGCACCTAATTCTGATTGCCACTTGCTACTGAACTGGTTTGGCTCTAACTAAAGGACCCTGAAGTAAAATTCTTTGTGCCCTGTACGAATCCTCTAAGTCACCCCTGAAGCTCAGTAGTGAGAAACAAACTCATAATATGTAACTTAATACAAAAACCATACAACACTGTTGGTAACACAAGATTTGAATTAAACTATATATTTTTCAAACAAGAAAATTCAAAGTTGGCTTAATTTCTCTGGGTCACATTTAAACTACTAACTGTAAGGAAGTTCGTTCACATTTGCATGTGTACAGAGAGAGAAGTGAGGCCAACTACTTAAGGATCTTTAAGATTTTTTCTGTGTCCATTTCACATGGTAAAAACATTAGACAAAACACGAGGAAGTGGCAGAGACCAAAATGCCTTCACCTCAAAACATGGTGGTCCTAACATCAACTGGTAAAGCAGTGATCTGCCCAAGCAACTGGCCTTCTAAACTCTCCCTTTACCCCCAACCCAAAATGTTCAATTAAATGAAGATGCTTGTTAAGCTAAATAAATAGCTATTTATTTAATATAAGAGTCTAACATCAGGGATACATGTTATATCTACTGCACAGGAGACACATATGCAAGCCAGTAACATGATAAAAACCCCAATTAAGTCAGCTGTTTGAATAACCTAACAGTTTAATGATCTTATCAGGGAGACAACTGAAACATTACATACTTTAAATAAAGTTTAAATCAAGGCATGTTTAACAGTAAATCAAAACTATAGTGGAAGCAGCATAGAAAGGAAACAGCAAAAGTTAGCAAAATCAATAAAGTTAGGAAAGATCAAACGAAAGAAGCAGACATGTACAACATAATGGCCCTTTATGCAGCAATACAGCCACCCATGGGTTGCCATCTAGTGTTCACAGATAGTATAGACTGGGTCCTGGAATCTAATAAGACAAAGGATACACAGGCCTTGTGTGTGGACAAGTTTTAGATTTCCCTGCTCCCCTTGGGGAGATAAGTTATAGGGCTTCTCTACATCAGAGTATATCGTACATCTCTCACAGGTGTGAATAAACCACCCACTAAACAACACAGGTTACACTGACTTAAGTGCTAGTGTGGACAGCGTTATGTCAGTGCCGCTGATACAGCTACTGCCCCTGGGGAGATGGTTTTATTTTGCCAATGGGAGAGCTTTCTCCCGTCGGCAGTGTCTTCACCTGACACTCTACAGCGGCACAGCTGCACGCATTTTTAGTGTAGACTAGCCCTTAGTAAGACTTCCTCATGCAACATCGTGATTCCTTTTGCCCTCCACTTCACTAATATAGTCGTTATTGAAAGGTCCCCTGCTTTTACAACATTAGGGGACTTTGGGCTATCAGAGAAGACCCTCCCTGGAGCTTTTGCTCAGCAGAGTGTGCACCCCCATCTTGGTGAGCACTCTGCATCTTCAAAACACAGGGCTGGAGGTGGGGGGAGGGGATGGGGGGGAAATCCCCATATATACTTGCCATTTAGCTGCACACAGCAAGTTTAACTAAATAAACCTCTTCCACTTAAAAATTCCAGTTTTAGAAGAAGTGCAGCTACATTTCTGTTCAGGTAGAAAACATGCAAAATACATGAATTAATACATCTTGCTTCTTTAAAAAAAAAGTCATAAGAAATGCTCACCTTCTCTACCAGTGGTATTAACTGTTGGTGTTCCGCTAAAGTTTTTAACAATTCCATGATGAAAGGCAGGTAGTTATGTTTTCTTCTAATATTTTCAATCTGAAAATTAATTGCAAACATTAATGGAACTGCTATGTGTCAGACAAAAGGGACCTCTCCCCCGCATTATAAGAGTTCTCTGAAGGTTACATTCTCTTTTTGAGCCAGGTGCCAAGTTCAGATGGTGAGGTTTAGAGCACTTCAGACAAGTCAATGCATTACACAAAGTTTGTATGGCATAAATATAAACCCTCCTTAAGACTCATGCCACCTTATATCATGCCTCTTACCAAAACACTCAACCTGAAAATGATTAGACAGTTAGCATGTCACAGCTCCTGCTTAACATGCTGACAAATACTGCTTAATTGTGCTCCCCACCTCTCGTTTTATACTTCAACTACTGTATAAGCTCTTTAGAGCATGAACTGTCTTTTTATTATGTATTTGCACACTCCCTAGCACAATGGGGTTCTGTTCAGGACTGGTTCCCTTAGACAAAATTGCAATACAAAAAGTAATTAGTAGTGTTTATCAATTTTTGACATCAGAGGAAAGATGCTTTACAGAGATAAATCCTCCTAATAGATCTCATAGCACTTTGTAATATAGCAAAGGCCTAAATATGCAGAACAGAAACAGAATTTAAGTTCTTATAGGTGGCAAAGGTTTCAATAAAAAAAATTCTATCTTCAGGGAACTAGTAAAATAAGTAAGGTTCTCCAAAAGAAATTACTGTATCCTGTACAAATATGCACTTTAGTAAAAAGCTTTAGGAGTATCTCCCTTGATGGTGACCTGCATAATTTAAAATAAATTTATTTTCTATCCTACCCAACAAGGGGCAGAGAGATATTCATAGATATTAAAGATGGGGAAAAACCTATATGGTTACCTAACTCATTCTCTTATTTCTCTAAACATTCCACAGCATGTATTCTGTAGGTATAACAAACAAACAAACAAACCAATGGAGCTAGCTGGCCATCACTTTGGAGAAACTAAAGCAAATAATTTTGAAGTTGCCTAGTTGTTGCTTTTATATCCCCTGAAATCATTGGTGACCGGCTCCAAATGTTGATCAAAAATGGTATGTCTACACTGCAATTAAAAGCGCGTGGCTGGCCTGTGCCAGCTGACTCAGGTTCATGGGACTGTTTTAGTTGCTGGTGCAGATTTTCAGCCTTGGGCCTAAGCTCTGGTGCACTCCCACTTTACAGAATACTAGAGACTGGACTGCAGCCCAATCCCAAATGTCTGCATCACCAACTAAAACAGCCTGAGCCCAAGACTGCTGTGGGGGTCTAACTGCACTGCAGACGTATCCCAAATCTTTCCCCATTTCTAGGAATACAATTAAATACGTTCACATTAATTCCTTATTTAAGATAATCAGTCAGAATCTCTGTTAAACATGCCAACTTCTTCTGCACTTCATTCCATTCATCAAAAACTAGGGGCTGGATTTCAAAAAGCAAAGAATAAAAATATGCTCTGCTAGTTTCTAAACAGTGTACAATCTCACATCCGTACCTAATGTAAAGGCCAAAAAAATGGAAGCTGTTTCTATACCATATTCAGGGATCACAGATATGTTCTCATACAGAGCAGCAAACAGCTAAGTACACCTCTACCTCGATATAACGCTGTCTTCGGGAGCCAAAAAAATCCTACCACATTATAGGTGAAACCGTGTTATATCGAACTTGCTTTGATCTGCTGGAGTGCGCAACCCCGCCCCCCCGGAGCACTGCTTTACCGCGTTATATCGGGTTTCGTTATATCGGGGTAGAAGTGTACTTTCATTTTTCTGTAGTTCATTGCCAATCCAGTACACACATCTGATAAGCTGAGTATCAAATGTTCTTCATTAACTTTAAACATACCCTTATAAACAAAGAAAGGTGGAAAAGTTCATTAGAAATATCAATCTTATAAAAGGAGTTCAAAGGGATGACCAAAAAAAAAAAGAAAAAACCCACAACACAACACTGTAGCAAAAAAAAGAACAAATTCTGAGAAGTTAAAGAATGCCACTATAGAGCAGAATTGATGGTGACCATAGTTGTAACTTCTTGAGGCACATGCAACTGTTTCTTTCCAGAAGTTCTCTTGTAAATAATGAAGTGTAGCTTTCTGATGAACTTTTATATATACACATACTTGAATGGGAGGAGATGGCAGAATAGGGGAGGCTTCAGAGAATATACATAAGAAAATGTATAAGAAGAGTATATAAAAATATCAGTTTCCCAGCTATCTAGAAAGAAAGACGATGAGTGAACAAACCAATAACTCAGGAGTAAGTTGACGCATGTGAATAATGTAGTGCAGTGCCTTGCTAATACCCTTTTAATTCCTCCAGCCTGGATGTGAAGGAGCATGAGATTGGTCTCATTTCCAGGCCTCACGTCAAGCTGGCTCTTCATTACGATCTTCCTGACAGTTTTACTATGAAAACAAAACAAAACAAAAACTACACGTACCTTGTATCTTTTTAGTTTTTGGTTCTCTTCTTCAATTAACATCTGATATTTTGCAACTTCCGACTGAATAGAACTTAACATATTACCACTCTGGTCTGTATCCATTGGCTCTTCCTTAAAGAAAGTAAAATGAATGCAATAAAGTTAGAATTTTATAAAAAGTCTGGTTTGTACAGTGTTTATACTGCGATTATCTAAATTAATATTTTAAGGACTGTGGTTGCAATATGCTACACCTATTTGGTTAATTCGGTCTTAGTATTATACACCGCAGCCCATTAACATAATATCTGAGCATCTTTCATTTAAAGATCAATAGCAACATGAAGTCCATAACAGACTTCATAGTCTCTGGCACATCTCCCTTTGTGGAGTAAAAACACTGCCCAGGTTTTTCTTTTCTCCCCCCTCACTCCCCTTTATGGGGCAGGAATAGAATAGTTAGTTGCAAAATAAATACTAACTAAAAAGTTATTTTTTATAACCCTTCTAAGCAAAAAGTGACTGTGGCATGGAACTATTGCATTATTTAAATATCATATCCTACCTCTGAAAGTTGCTGCTGTAATTCTACTATCTTCTGCTCATATATCATTTTTCTGTCAGACACAATGGCCATAAGGTTAAATCTTATCTCCCCTTCGCTGTATCTAAAAGAGAACATAGTTTTCAAAATTACAATTTTATTTGGAGCACAGCAGCTCCAAATAAACAAACAAAAATCCTCTATGGTTTCCTTAATTGTAAATAAATATTTATTTATTTCACATTAAAGTTGTGGATATTGTTTCACTCTTACCATGGAACAAAAAAGTCACATCATAGATGACTGCACTGAACTACAAACACTAAATATGGTGATTAGTCCAATAGTTACTTTTACAGCACCTGCACCAAGGTTTATTTTCCCCATCTGAGCTTAAATGTTAATCTTTCTGTTTATATAATTTGACTGTTAGTTAACTGCTTTTCACAATATAAAACGTAGGCATATGAGAAGACTCCCTTTAGTAACTGTCCTCCATAACTGAAATCACAAAACAAGTTGTGTTTCTAGCCCAAGCTGTTTTGGAGTTGTGATTTGAGGAGGAAGGTTAAGAAATTAGGAAAACTGATGTCCGTAGCTTATTTTTAGAAAGCTAAACAAGAAAAAAGAAAACTACTTTTAATCGAAGAAAGTTAGGAATTGGTTCTTTTGCAGTAAAAAGTTATACATGTATGTTCTTTAAAAAAAAAGAAAAGAAAAGCACGCTGGACATTTACTTTTGTATTCGTTTCTCTATGACAGGCCTGACAGCACTGATCCAATCATCTTGATTACAGGCACCTAGATAGGAAACAAACAAAACAAAAAAAAGAGCCAGCTTTGCTGCAAATTCAAGACACTGACAATTCAAGCTCTGAATACTCATTTGCAAAGGCTACTAGTGGATCTCTTCTCTGGAGAATGACAATACTAGATTGTTCAAAATGATCTTTTTGAAATAGGAAGTTAATCACTGGTTCTTGTTAATACCTTTCAATATTCTACTGAATAATATTTAGAAAAGCAACAGAGCTGGATTAGATTTTAAAAGGGGGAAAAAAGGTCTAACCTTCACTCTATTACTGACAGAGGAAAAAAAGCACAAGTCATTTGGTGAGAGTGTAAAGGCAGAAATTTGGTTTTCCAAATTGGGTGGGGGAGGGAGCAAGTATATGAAATTCTTGATTTTTTTCCTCATGCAGTAATTTCTGCCAGAAATTTAGAGACTTTAGAAACCTTTATATATCATTAGGATCATCTATTCTTCCATTCTGTTCTCCAAATTTTGGAGGGTTCCTCCTCATGTTTTAAACAGTACTTAGCACTTGTAAAGCATTTGAAGATGAAACAGTAAGGGCTTGTCTAAATGAACATTTAATGTGCATTAACAGTTCCTTATAGCACTTTGATCTACTCTCATTTCAAAAAGAGGACTAGATCAAAGAGACATAAGATTCCCCCTGTAGTTTTATCTGTATTCTTCACTTCCAGTCCTAAACTGTTGCACAGCATACTTTTAAATTCTGTATTCACTATAGTAGTGAGTTGAGCAGCAATTATATGTATACTCCCCAATCCTGCAAATGGATTCCATGCCAACAGATCCTTATGTCCACAGAAAGCCCATATATATCAATCAATGATATGACATGCAGGTCTGACTACATCAGGGCCATTGTCTGGTAGGAAGTGGGTTTTTTTGTTTTTAAGTGATCAGAATCTTTCAGAATGAAAGATTCACTATACTGAAACTAATAATCTTTCACATTTATCTTAATAATTGAGAAACTATGACAGAAATACAACTTTCGATGATGCATTTACTTTACTAGTTTTTACATTACCATAATAAATACTGCAAGGAACAAATAAAGTATTAATTTAGTGCCAAGTAGTGAGATTTCTACTCTCATAACATTAGGATTACAAAGATGACTAACATGCTCCCTGGAATATAAAACGGCGGTGGAAGGCAACATGAAAAAAAGATATGGTAACAAGAACTGTTCCAGGTGAAACTGAGCTAGTTTAATACCAGTTAACAAGACTTTGCAAATCTTAAAAATTAGAAGAGATATCTGATAGATGACAAAATTTAAAGTGGAATGAAAAAATTAGATTTAACTTCTTGACCTAGCATTAACAGGCTCCATTTCTTTGTACCAGTTGTTTTTGCCTTGGAACTAAAATATTAAGGGAATGAATAATAAAATTCTGAGATTCTGACATCACAAAAACTAGTTGAAAGGAAAAACCTGAAAAGATGGGGGAGGGGACTAATCCAATTAATCACCCTTTTCAATACACTGTCTAAATAAGTCTCTCAGTGAAAGATCAAAAAGTATTAAGAACCAGCTGTTATTTCAAAAGGACAATTGTTTTGGTCACATATGGCCACCAAAAAAAAAACTGTTAAAAATGCAAAAAGGTACAATGTTTAAATTAGCCACAGTGAACTAAACTTACCTAAATCAATTGGTCCTTCCCTTAGTCCATCTAGTTCATATAGCCTTCCATTAACAGGAACATAGCTTACAAAGTGAAATGCATCTTCTTCTTTTGCTGATGACTTTGCATCAAACTCAAACATTTGTTGTCTAAAAGGTTAAAAATAAACAATGCTGAAGTGAAAGAGAAAAGTTACTGGATTTTGTATGATTTGTAACACGCATTACTTTTGTTACCTGGCAAAACTGTTGTGAACCTGCCGAATCACTTCAGAGTTGCTTAGTGCCAAACCTTTCATCTAAAAATATATAAAAAAATAAAATAAGAGAAAGAACATAAGCCAATTGTTCAAATCAGCGTACACCAGGTACAAAAGTTAGTTGCACTTACCGCAGCATCAAAACTTTGTGAAAATTCTTTAAATTCTGCTAGTGTCTCTCCTAGATGGATATCTTGATGAATACAGTTTAATAGCACACTTACTATGGCTTGAGTAGCACAAGCATTGTTTATTACCTAGAAAGAGGAATGGAAAGTGAGGACCAGTTCATTACAGATGATGACATAGAAAGAATTAAAAGTTGGACCAATTCTTCCTTTATAAACCCTTATTTTCCATTGATTACATGGCTCTGATTTAGGTTACAAAAATTTCAGCCTGGAAGCAGTACCAATTTTTTGGTAAACATGTACTACCACCTAGGTAGCAAATCTAGCCTGGACAGCCATAAAAGCCTCTGCTGTACAAGACAAACCAAGTGATGCTGGTTGTACAGGTGCAACTGGCAAAATAGACAAAGTGCAATTATTCTAAGTAAATATATTAGAAACACCCTGTAATATGCCCCCTCACTTCTTCTAAAAGAACAGTTAAAACAGAGTAAAGAACACAACAACCTGACCAAGATGTAGTGATGTCATAGATTGCTAAAGCACAGCAAAGAATCTTTTGCTTACTTTTAAGACACATTTGTTACTTTTAGTGTATACCCTTATTCTACTAGTAATTCAGGGCTTCATCCTTACTCAGGCTGACTAGCACCTTACCTTGCTTGATTTCAATGGGACCACTGGCAGAGTAAGGTATTACTCAACACACAAAAAAGTGTCTGAACCTGGCTGTTCATATCGCTATTTCCATTTCCCCCTTTAAAATATAATACCATTCAATGAACACTACAAATTAGATTAACAGGGGAAAAGACTACCAAAATATAAATTTTTAAAAGAAGGCATCGCATGCAACCTAGACTTAAGATAGTTCTGTTAAAAAAAAAAAAGAAAAGAAAGAAAAACCCTCAGCAAATACACTGAGTCTCAAATTCAGATCTGTTGTGTTAAAAAGTTTTATAAACTTCTATGAAATGAAAAGCAAAAACTTTCAAGAACACTTATCTTCCTTCAATCCAAGTTAATTTTTAAAAACTGAGACAGTTGCACAAACTAGTACACCAAAAAATTCAAGCCAGTTAAGAAGGTAGAGTATCAGCCGTAATTCACCTTGCTGAATATTTTTTTTGGTAAAATATTCTATTTTTTGAAAAAGTAAATCAAAACCTTACTGCTAGTCAGAGCTTTTGTTCATTAAAGAGAGATACATGGCCTAAAACATTTTTTTAGGGCTGTCAAGCAATTAAAAAAATTAACCGCGGTTAATCACGCTGTTAAACAATAGAATACCATTTATTTAAATATTTTTGGATGTTTTCTACATTTTTAAATATATGGATTTCAGTTACAACACAGGACACAAAGTGTACAGTTCTCACTTTATTTTTTTATTACAAACATTTGCACTATAAAAAAAATAGTATTTCTCAATTCACCTAATAAAAGTACTGTCATGCAATCTCTATCATGAAAATTGAACTTACAAATGTAGAATTATGTACAAAAAATAACTGCATTCAAAAATAAAACAATGTAAAACTTTAGAGCCTACAAGTCCACTCAGTCCTACTTCTTATTTGCCAATCACTCAGACAAACAAGTTTGGTTACAATTTGCAGGAGAACATTGCCCGCTTCTTGTTTACAATGTCACCTGAAAGTGAAAACAGGCATTTGTATGGTAGTGTTGTAGCCGGTATCACAAGATATTTATGTGCCACATGCACTAAAGATTCAGATGTCTCTTCATGCTTCAACCACCATTCCAGAGAACATGCATCCATGATGATGACAGGATCTCCTCTATAACTATCCAAAGCAGAGCGGACCGACGCATGTTCATTTTCATTATCTGAATCAGATGCCACCAGCAGAAGGTTGGCTCTCTTTTTTGGTGGTTCAGGTTCTATAGTATCCACAGTAGAGTGTTGCTCTTTTAAGACTTTTGAACACATGCGCCACACCTCGTCCCTCTCAGATTTTGGACAGCACTTCAGATTCTTAAACCTTGGGTCAAGTGCTGTAGCTTTAGAAATCTCACACTGGTATTTTCCTTTTGTTTTGTGAAATCTGCTGTGAAAGTGTTCTTAAAAACAAACGTGTGCTGGGTCACCATCCCAGACCGCTATAACATGAAATATATGGCCAAATGCGGGTCAAACAGAACAGAAGACATACAATTCTCCCTGAAGGAGTTCAGTCACAAAATTTAATTAATGCATTTCTTTTTAAACGAGCATCATCAGCATGGAAGCATGTCCTCTGGAATGGTGGATGAAGCATGAAGGGACATACGGCACGTAAATACCTTGCAACGCTGGCTACAAAAGTGCCATGTGAATGCCTGTTCTCACTTTCAGGTAACACTGTAAATAATAAGCAGGCAGCATCTCCCATAAACATAAACAAATTTGTTTGTCTTAGCGATTCGCTGAACAAGAAGTAGGACTGAGTGGACTTGTAGGCTCTAAAGTTTTACATTGTTTTGTTTTCGAGTGCAGTTATGTAACCAAAATAAATAAAAATCTACATTTGTAACTTACACTTTCATGATAAAGAGATTACATTATGGTACCTGTATGAGATGAATTGAAAAATACTATTTATCATTTTTATAGTGCAAATATTTGTAATCAAAAGTATAAAGTGAGCACTGTACACTTTGTATTCTGTGTGCAATCAATATATGTAGAAAAACATCCAAAAATATTTAATACATTTCAATAGATATTCTATTGTTTAACAGTGCGATTAATCGTGATTAATTTTTTTAAGTTAATCACGTAAGTTAACTGCAATTATTCAACAGCCTTTTTTATTATATTAATTCTTATTATTATTAATTATTATTATTATTATTATTAAAGGGAAGTGAAATATGGGCTCTATATATTGAAGACGTTGATCTACATGTTGAAGGATGGAGAGTGAATATAACCTTTCAAAAAAGTGATCATAAAAGATATGGGGCCATATTCTGCCTTTAATTACCTTTATGTGACTCCTTTTAAGTCAATGGAGTTGACAAGGGTGTAATTAAGGGCAGAATTTGGACAAGGAATTTGTATTGGTTTGGGGCTATGTGCAGCATGAGGGATGATTATTAGCTGTAAGTTTGTAGGGGGGGGGAGAGAGAGGAGAGAGAAGGGGAAGAGACTTTCCAGTCTGTGTGAGTAGCATCCAGTATAAAGGTTTACATACATTTTAAAAGAAGACAATGTAAGGTTAATTATATATCAAGCATTTGAAATATACTTCAGGGCTGTAAACATGAAACCACTTCCAACAAAAAAAGTGAACAGACAACATCTGTTTTCTAGTCAAAGCAGGTCAGAACAGACTGACACCTTCTCTTTGGCAAGATCGGGGAAAATAAAACAAAATCCTCAAGATTCCAGGATGCTAGAAAGTGCTCTATTTGTACTTTACGTAGTGAACAGTACATTGCTCCATGATAGGAGTTTATCATTCAGTTGTCCAAAAATAGGTGTGTCACTGGAAAACTGGACTGCATCTATACTACTGAGTTAGAATACATATTTAGCCTTTTCCCTCTTCAAGCGCATGCATAGCTTTGCATGTAGGAAATAAAGTTAATCTAGAGCTGCTATTTAAAGGAAAATATGGAATTATGCTCTTGGAAATTGTACGGCTCTTCTAACAAAGGTGCAGTGTTACAACATGCCTCAAAATGTCGGAGGGAAGGGGAAGACAAAAAGTTATTTTGACTAATTCACAAGTTACACACATTAAATACAGCCATCTTGGTATGGAGGACAAAGCCAAGATGGACAGATATTTCTTAGCTTGTTGAATACATATTATTTGATTCCCTCAACCCTCTTCTCATTTTCCTTCTCCCCTCACCTCCTAGAAAGAACCTGAAACATCACCCCTTTTTTGAGAAGACTCAGCTGTTCTAATGTTGTACACCATGCCAGATATAATTAATTGATTTATAATGCCCAGAAGCCACCTGTTAAGATTGGTGTCCCAATGTTCTAAGCATGTAAGACAGACTTTGCTTTGAAGAAAGTAGAGTCAATTTTGAAATAAGATAAGTGGGTGTAAGACAATGGGAAGCAATAGTAGAATTAAGACAATAATGACAGTAACACATGTTTACACAGAGCATCTAGATGCATAGTTATACAGTGAAGCCAAGGGATGGAGCACATGGGAACACCATCATGTCCCTCAATTAAGACAGTGGGAAAGGGAAATAGAAGCATCAAGAGACTGGCAGAAAGTGAAAAACAGCACACAGCTGTGAAAGATAAGAAAGGACAAGATTTAAAAAAAAAACTGCATGACGTGTAGAATGCACTCAATGTTGAGGATGGTGAAGTTGGAATAGAAGCTCTGAGAAATGACCAGGAAGGGTACTTGTAGATACTGGTGAGAACAGTTGCAGTAAAGTGGAAAGGTCACAAGCCAGACTGAAGGGGAGAAGTTGAGGTAACAGCTGAAGATGGAATATATATGAACTTTAGGTGACAGAGAGAAGGGAGACTGGATTAGCAGGAGACACAGATGAAGTCTAGAGTAGGACCTTAGAATGAGGGAAGACCACAGCAGATATATTATCAGATGAAAAACTGAAGGGAAGAGCAAGAGATTAAGGAGAAAAACAAAAGTGGGGGGATAGGGAATCACAAAACAGGAGGTGATGGGGGCAACTGGAAAGTGGGTGAGAAACTTCAGAGACTATGGAGAAGTAGGGGAAAGGGAACATCTCTTTCGAAAAAGTTAGCAAGGTAGTGGGAGAACAATGGAAGGGTTTTACAACAGAGCCAAATAGTGGCATATAGATGGGATTGCAGGCCTAGGATAATTGAGAGTGGAGAAGTCGCTCTTCTTAACCAGGAAGATAGAGGAACTGCAGGAGGAAAGGTCCATAATTATCGACCTTTCTTCAGAGGTGCTGAGCAAGTGGATGTGGATGTTAGGAGTGAGCTGTGAGTGGTGGGATGGGCTTTGCACCAGGAATGAGGGGCAAAGGAGTCAATGACTGAGTTGATAAATCAGAGGAGGGGACATAAGTCAAACAAATTACAGAAGGACTTGAAGGGGGTGAAAAGGAACAGTGAATACAAGCTTGACAAAATGGCTGTTTTGGTAACTAGG